TCCCCTCACGCCAATTCGATGCAAATCAGTAAACAAACATTGAAAATAATACCACCAATGTCCCCATTTTTCGTATATCTCATTACTTTTTTCATTTTACATGTTCGAAAATTTGACTTATTTCCATTGGACACTGCACTGTAGCGCCGGTTAAAGTTCAAAATGACTGAAAATTGGTTTTTTCAGAAATTTAAGTTCAAATGTGTTAAACTTATGCCAAAATACCCTCAAATTCCGAGCTTTATAAAACCCTCAGCAAAAAACCGAGGTGGCAATTTTCGGCCATTTTTGAAACAGCGGCACGGTATTTCGGAAGAAACAACGCTATGTACTGCAGATCTAGTATAAACTCTCACTACATACAGTCCAACTATTGGTTGGAGCAGCAGGTATCCGAGGATTCCAAAATAGATTTAGATTATAATATAAGGTAAAAATTGAACTGAACCGGATGAAAATCACACCGTCGAAACATAAGGAACGAACAGTTTCCTGTGTTTAATCCCTTCGTAAGAAATGCTCGCATACAACATTGCACCCACTTAAATAAAGTGAAAGAAAAGAAAGAATCTTTACCATCTCAATTTTATTAGATTTTGGGCCATGGTAAAGAATCAAGATCATCGATTAGGTATCAATTTTCCCCTTTACAGCTGAATATCGGTATATTTCCCTTTAAAGCTATAGTAAAGAATCGAAATAATCAACTGTCGGTATAATTTTCTTTAAAGCTATAGTAAATAAAGCGGAATCATCGATTGGTGAAATTTTTCCGTTAAAGTTATGGGAACTTTTCGACTATCGATTTATTTCTATTATAAAATACGGTAAAGAATCGAAATATTCGACTTTCGATTTATATCTAATTATAATTATGGTAAAGAATCGATCATTAATTTAACCGTAGCTGACTATCGATCCTTAACCCTACCTTAAATGTCAGATCGAACGATTCATCGACCGTAAAGCAATGCACTGGAGCTTTTCAATACCGTTCTTCGCAACTGGGGGCTCCCGCAATGAAATTTTGAGTCTTTTAGGTTTAATAAATTTTTTGGAGGCTTCCGGTGGTCTTATTGCATTCATATTTGAAAAGTAGTGGGTGTGTAGTCGTCAAAAATCGTCTAGGACGTACCGTTTTCGAGATATTGAGCAAAAACCATCGATTATTGATAATTTACCTTTATATCTGATGTAAAGTATCGAAATCATCGACCATCAACATTCTCATATGAAGTTGTGGTAAGTAATCGAAATCATCGAGTATTGTTACATTCCCATTTACAATGGATCACTATACAAGGTGCGAATTTAAGCATTCTGATACGTGTTTCTTAACCAGAACTCCACGGAGAACACGATTCACGCAATTAAATTGATGAAACCAACTCCGAACGAAGATATTAACGTTTTCATTCCCTGCTAAAAATGTTCCGTGTGGATGATTTCCATGAAGTTGATTTCCATGAGAAAATGACACGGAAAAGTGGAACGGGAAATATTTCCATGTGGCTGATTTCCGTGTGGCTGATTTCCATTTGGCTGATTTCCATGAAAATGTTTCATGGAAACGAAATCATTTCCGTGAAAATTTTTCGTGGAAACGAAATCATTTCCATGAAAATTTTTCATGGAAACAAAATGATTTCCGTGACAATTTTTCATGGAAACAAAACCATTTCCATAAAAATGATCACAGGATGGTTTCTCAGTACCATCCAAACTGCTCATGGAATTTAAATAAATCTTAGAATCAAGACAAAGGAGACAAGCGTCCCTATGAGAGCATATGATAGTTGAGCCATGCAGACATTCTCAATAACATAGAAAATGAACAAACAACACTCATCAACTTGCTCAAATCTGTAATCCACTGGGTCAGAAAAATCCACTTGAAGACAATAAATCCAAATTTCCGATTAGAACTGGTGCAGGTACGGAGGAACTTTTGAAAACACTATGAGTGCATTGTAAAAATTTCTAAAGAACTTTTTAACGTAGAAGAAAAGTTAGCACCATGATTTAATAGCTGATCAATACAGAACACCACTCTCAAAAAAGCACTGACACAACACCATTTTTCAGTTTAGTTTTAGAGGAGAAAGCATTTTTCAAAAGATGCGACATCACGCTCCACAGCTTAGATAATTTCACGATTTACTTCGATCATTGATGATATTAAGGTAGCCATCGATTCTCTACCCGACGTTCCTTCCACACATGACAGGGAACATCTAGAGGCATAGAGCCAATGGCACTAGGCAGCAATGTACATCTGATAAGGCAAGCTCCTGGAAGTGTCGATCTGCAAAAATACAAAGTGAGAGACAGATCATCATATTGATCTACCTATGGTTAATGGCCGTCCTTCAAGACTGACAATAAACTACATTACAATGTATCAACCACCATTTGATAATACAGTGGCCGCTCGCTAATTCGAAAATCTCGTTAATTCGAAGGGGAAGTCGATCCCCGTGAGAAAATCCCTTTATTTCGAAAAAATAAATGTATTTGTCTCCCCTCGCCAATTCGAATATTTCAGCGGTTAAGCGGCTCGGCAAACTGCTCTATGATTCGAAGGAGCCGGACCGAAACGCTCTGTAATCCGAAATCTGTCGCGGCGGTGTTCTCATTTTCTCTTGCAAGTTTATTTTTTCGAGCTCTTTTTTCCGCTTTCGCATGTACCCCCTCTCATATGTAATAAAAACCCCACTCTAGCGAGAGGTGGGTCCCTGTTCTCGGCCTTAAAAAACTCGTACATACATATTTTTATTTTCCTATCGTCCCATAATTTCGAATTATAGAGCGTTTTGGGCCCATTACCTCGAATTACAGAACTGTCTTGAAAACCCCGTTAGTTCGAATTTTCCTTGTTGCCGCTCTCTATAATTCGATATTTCGATATTTCGAAAACCCGTTAATACGAAAAAAACGCTCGGTCCCTTGAGTTTCGAATTAGCGAGCGGCCACTGTAGAACAAATTTAAAATAAGAGTATGACCCTTCCGTAGGGAGGGAGGACATTCCTTAGACCTTTACTTCAAACAAAAGCTTAAAAATGGACCACTGTACTACTTACAGGCCACAGCTGCTAAACGAAACACATTCAACCAGTCAATAAAATTTAAAACTCGTTCACTCACCGTCTAATGTTGACGGATAACCTGACATAACACCTGATTTGTAGAGTGGTTCATTCTTGTAGAAGCTTTCGTAAGTATTTCCAGATAGGTACTTTAAAATTAGACAACTGTCAAATGTCCTACAGGAGAGGAAATGGGGGCAACAAAACTTAAATTGTCCTTGATTCTTTTGGAGACACAAGGAAAATGCAGGCAGTATGAGGATGCTCATACTCAGTATGAGGATGACAGACTTTTTAAAGCACTCGCCTGCGAGAGTTGGGAAGTTTCTACTTGTGATGAAGTCCGCGCATATTAAGATTTGCACTTTGAGAGTGCGACAGAAGATCTACCATCTCGATTGTGGTCTTTACCTTCAAGGCTAAATGGATGAAAGATTATCTCCTGTCCCACGGAAGGAGTGGATATATTTACTAGACGTAGACTCTTCGATCAACTTCGTAAACATGGTTAGGAATAGCACATGGTAGTAAATGCATTCGCAAACCAAGAGAATAGAATTTACGATTACCTTGCTCGTTAGAATATATCGACTGAATCGTAAATCGGCAAAAAAAATTAAACTCGAATTACTTGATCAGTATAGCTTGACATGAATGTAAGTACAGTGTGGCAGGCTCATAGGTGTGTCCGTCGTCAAGAGGTGAAAGAGAGAGGATTTACCTGTGTTCAATGAAACTGAGTATAGTTAGGTAATCGCCGATGATACAATCGATTTTTCGTTAAATACGAATCACGAAAAGTAGATCAAACTAAGTTTTCATTTTCAAATTTCCGACTCACGGCATGGCATGGCAGGTAGGGTGAATTGAATTGAACAATGGTTCACGGTTCGGAGTTCCGAGTTGGACACCGGACAGTTGGGTGAGGGACCGAGTCGCCTTTTCCCAAAAATCCAGGTTTCGTATGAAAATGAAAATCAGCCGGTTTAATGATTTAAGAAAGCCAGTATTTGTATTTTAATCCCTTTGAAGACATTTGCCCGATAATTCTTTCGATAATAAATACAACCCTGGAAGTATCGGCAAGGAACGATTATTCCAGGGACTAGGAACATCTTCACAAAAGTTAGGTTATATTTATCTCTCACATGGTTTGGTTCACCATACCTTTTGCCTCAAGTAAATAATTTTATGAGTAATTTTTCACTTTCACACCCTTCCCTACCTCAATTCAGGCTGATGGCCTCAAGTCGTCATATTAATACTACTAAACACGAGTTGAACAGAATATCACTAATTTATTAAAGAGCTGATAACCTAACCTAACCTAACCTAACCTTACCTTACCTAACCTAACCTAATCTAACCTAACCTAACCTCACCGCTAAGTCAGTAAAAGTCGCTGATTTAGATGACTATTTGAATATTAAATTATTTGTTTAAAAAATGAGTTTTGCGACTTATTTAGACGAAGAATCATGATTCGGGGATTATTCAGTTTGAAAAAAAAAAAAAATCCCACGTTGGGAATTGAACCCAGCACCATCCCATCCACAGGTTTATTCACTTTATTCACACTTTATTCATTGGACCACCGAGCGACCGAAGCCGAGGAAGTAAGTAATATATCAGGCTAGCGTTATTGTTGTTGAAAAGAAGATGCACCGTAGACCGGTGACCGACGCGGGTGGTTGCTGGAGATTCTGCAACTTTTCAAGCCTCTTTCCTTCTCAAAAGTAAACACCGTTTATACATGTCCTGAAAAACCCAATCGTCATAACCTCAATTAGACAGTACAAGTGAGGGTGAAAGCTGTAAACCTATTTATATCGTATTTTTATTTTCTTTTGGTCTAATTTAAAAAAAAAATACACAATTTATGTAATTAACCTTTTTTTACGAATTTCCACAGGAACACTACCAGGAAGAGCTTTCGTTGATCTTGGCAATGGGGATTATCGAATGGCTGGAGAACGCTTACAGCAAGGGTTTCAATGAAACCGGCGACGTTACACGGGGTCAAAATCTTCGAAAAGCGAAATGGACTTTCATGCTAAAAAATCGCAGAGATGAGACGGCAATTAAAGAGATGTTAGACAAAATCCATGCGGAGGATAAAAGTTACGATGAGGAAAAACTAGTAAATAACATAATAGAAATTGAGAAAATAGTATTGGGCCAAGAAAAGAGATTTGAGGAAGGAGTTGCGAAGGCGGGATCTTATTTAAACCAAGAAAAACATAGAATTAAACTCAGAAGAAATCCGATCATGCTTGTGATCTTTACTGATACTGTGCCTGCACACATAGTAAAAACAGTTAATTTATTAAAGGAGGTGTACGTCAATGAGAAGATTCGTCGTGTCAGTGGAGAAGATTAAATAAGAGATCGATAAGTTGACTTATACAAGGTGTCCCAAAACTCCGTACCCCCCCTCGTAACTTTTGAACGGTTAGAGATAGAAAAACGAAACTTTGGGAATGTTTCTATCTTAAAGGGGTCCATCTTCTAAGGGGGTCACAATTTTTGTCCCCCCCTCAGGGGGGGGGCGCGGGGGCCCCCAACTTTTTTTTTTCAAATGGTAACCCCTATCTTGTGATTCATCATTAGAAAGAACATAAAAAACTAAGAATTTTGGGGCAAACCGCAAATCAATATCTTAATTTTTGACCAAGTTATAATAGGTCAAAGGTCAAATTTGACCTATTTTCAAAAAATCATATCTCCGGCTCAAATTATCGTAAAGAAAAAAACAAAACGGGAAAATTTACCAAATTGTAAGCACTTTCAAGTAAAAATCACAGAAATTACTTCAAACTAATTTTAAGGGGGGTTTCGGACCCCCAAATACGTCATTTTAATGGTCATAACGATATTCTCGCGAAATGAGCCAGTTTCCCCTTACTTTTCCTCAACATTATCTTAGTAAGTTCAAAATTAGTTCAAAATTGCGTTTTCAAGTCCCCAAATTCCGAACAAAGTTTTGAAAAGAAATGAAATTTAAGTGGTTGAATTGAATCACCTTAAATTTCGTTTTTTGAACTTTGCTCGAAATTTAGGGACTTGAAAACGCAATTTTGAACTAATTTTGAACTTACTAAAATAATGTTGAGGAAAAGTAAGGGGAAATTGGCTCATTTCGCGAGAATATCGTATGACCATTAAAATGACGTATTTGGGGATCCGAAACCCCCCTTAAAATTAGTTTGAAGTAACTTTTGTGATTTTTACTTGAAAGTGCTTACAATTTGGTAAATTTTCCCGTTTTGTTTTTTTCTTTACGATAATTTGAACCGGAGATATGATTTTTTGAAAATAGGTCAAATTTGACCTTTGACCTATCATAACTCAGTCAAAAATTTAGATATTGACTTGCGGTTTGCGCCAAAATTCTTAGTTTTTTATGTTCTTTCTAATGATGTATCACAAGATAGGGGTTACCATTTGAAAAAAAAAGTTGGGGGACCCCGCGCCCCCCCTGAGGGGGAGACAAAAATTTTGACCCCCTTTGAAGATGGACCCCTTTAAGATAGAAACATTTCCAAAGTTTCGTTTTTCTATCTCTAACCGTTCAAAAGTTACGAGGGGGGGGGGGGT